CCTTCCGGCGTAACTTTAAAAAAAAAAATGTATCATTCAGGATACCTTGTCTGCTGGCCATTTTTGCCCATTCAGAGCACGGATCTGTTACGCTGCGGACTCTCCCGCAAACTTAGCGTTCCTGAAGCTACGGAAAGCGCCGAGGGTAAAACAAACAGTACAGAGAGCGCTGCGGAAAAATAAAGAACACAAGCGAACGGTGCGTTTGTTTTGATGCGCGATTAACGTGCGTTAAAAAAAAATGTCGGCGTTATAGTCTAAAGCAGTTAACACGTTAATAACGCTTTAAAACTGACAGCCCTAATATATATATATATATATATATATATTAAAAAAAGGAAATTTGTACTCGATCTCATTGGTGTGTGTGTTGTAGGGTAAAAATAAAAACAAAGCGCAGCACAGAGAAATTTTCCTCATGTCTTATGATCAATATGGGGCTGAAAACTGAGCCTGGTTCTACTGGAGGTTTTTGCCTGTTTTAAGGGAGTTTTTCCTCTCCACTGTCGCTACAAGCATGCTTAGCGTGAGGGATTGCCTTTGAGTCAAATAATCGATGCAATCAACTGGTTTTCCATTATTCAGATAAATTATTGTATCTGGTTAAAACGGTTATGCTTAAAAATCTATGAATTCAAAATTTTAGAAGCATGCAAACGTGTTGATTATAATGAGCATTTGTTCTTCAATCCCTACAGCATCATTGCGTTTAAAAAAAACCCTTTAAAGCTTTACCTGTGTCTGCTCCAAACCTAAATGTGCGACAGACTCGGATCAGAGTATATTTACTCAGTAACTTTCAGCATATTTGTCTTGAAATGCTCTGAACTTCCATACCAATGCGTTTTTGGACCACGTTTTTTTCGCCCACACTGTTTACATTTGATCACTGCTGCACTTTATGGAATAGAAATGTTCATTTCACACACTATGTATACAAAATGACAAAAATTGTCTTAAGTCATTAACCTGACTCAGGATAATCCAGCTTTCTGCAATCAAAAATCATCTGTGGGGATGTATCTCCGAATCTATTCAGAGTTCTCACTTATTCCGCTTTATAAAATTAGGGCCAACGTGGTCAACGATGGACTGCCACTGCATGCTGTTGAAATGTGATGTTGGTGTTAGAGAAACTCATCATGCTGGACTTTCCATATCCACCCAGTATAGAGCTGGTTATCCTCCTGCAGCCGTGTGTCGCAGTGAGCTTATCACAGATATTTTTGATTTATCCCCAGTTTTGCAAGCATGTTCTGCGCTATGTTATTCCACGCCACAACACAAGAGGGCCAATCAGGAACTAGCTGTGGGTCTAGATATGGCAGAGGCGGTGAGGAAGTGGGGGTGAGTTTGTGCGACAACGGAGGGACATGAGGGTAAATAATGGAGGGGATCCAGGTGAAAAAACGGTCCCAGGTGCATTCTGGCGCACCTCACTGTTCTAGCTGGTCCCTCTTTATGAGTCATTTTCCACAATGGTGGTCATACAAACAAAACAAGCTGCTAAGGTACCAAACAGGAAATGCGCATAGTGTAGAGCGGATGTAGATTTGACCAATCAGAGGCCTCCTGTCTGCAGTCACCTACAATTTGGGAGAGGTGCAGCAGAGTGTCTGGGGAAGGGGCGGGGACATATTTTATGTTCATTGCGACAGAAACCACCTGGTTTCTGAGTATAAATCAGCCTTAGAAAAGAGTGCGTGGAAAGGAAACGCCATAGAAGAGGGGTTCTGCTGTGTCATGTTTACACTGAATATAAGTACCATTCTAAAACTGATTAGAAATTGCTTAAGAACTGGTTTCACCCGAGCTCGAACCGAAATGTTCACTCTTGTTTGGTGAGCGGCACAATCGCTGTGTAAATTGTGTCTCCTTAATGTAATCTATAGCTTGAACTTAAACGGATGTCAGGCTTTAGCGGGACACTGCTTTACTGAGTGCAGCGCCTGAAGATCACTTTCTGTCCTGGTCAATGATTAATGAAAGGCAAGCTTCTCTACAGAGCAATACACACACACAGCAGATGGATGCATGCCCACCTCTGGTAAAGAAATATTAGCATTAATGTACTATTTCTGGGATGCACTGAGAAGTGGAGTGTAACATCTGC